ACTTGACAAACGATATCGATTTTTTCGATTTTTTCTATCGGGATATATTCACCTAAAAAAAAAATAATTTTAATAGAAGTGGAATTCTCTAAATCTTAGAGGATTTTATCCTTATATATGACCTCAAGAAGATTGCTTTGAAATCAAGAGAAAAAATAATCTTAAACATAATTCTTAAAGATAGAAGAATTTCATATCGAATGTACAGTGCAAATCTATTTGTTCTTAATCTAAATTTTTTCTTATATATTACTTCAACTAAAAAATATTTCTTCGGACTTAAATTTTATCACATCCAGACGAAAGATCAGAAAACTTTGACCGGGGTGCTTGTGTGTATCTGTAGATGTTCACTTTTAATGCCATATGAGATGAAAAATATCAGACTCGGCTGGGATCGACGAATCCAGGTTATTCCGCTTATTAGGCAACCGCTCTTCCCACTGAGCTATTTAAGACTTCATGTTTGTGACATCTATATACCCAGTGAAAACTGACTCGTTGATTAACGTCAAAATAATATCAAACTGACGTCGGTTTAACTATTTCAACGTCGATTTGATTGAAACGTCGACAGTGAATTAACGGTGGAAGCTCTAAGCGTGGCGCTTGGTTTCAATCGTATACAACAGTACGCAGTACGACAACCCTTATAGAAATATCATACTAAGAATCATTGATAATTACTTATTTTCAGTATTAAAAATACTGGGTAATAAGTAATTACCAATGATTCTTAGTATGATATTTCTATAAGGGAATACGACAGTACGACAACACGAAACAACAGTTCTTCGCGTCTCTCGTACTGCACGTAAGACGGCATTGTGCTTCAAATTAACATATTCCTCTTGATATAGAGGAACACAATTAGAATAATATCTCATAAATGTACGACGAGTGGTTCTCTTTAATGAAAGATGAATATGCTTTCTGTAAGATATTTCTTTTAGAACATGAGATTAGAGGAAAATTCACTTTGTACGTAGAATACTTTTTTTTAGGTATTGGCACAGCTATCATATGTTACCATATGCAACTCAAAATATACCACGCGATTCGATTTTTCAACAAGGTAACGACCCCAAGCATTCATAAAAACTAATAAAAGAATTTCTTTTCGCTAAAAAGTCTAAATATTTTATCAGCCATCGCAATCTTTAGACTTGAACTCTATCGAGCATTTATGGCAAGAACTTAAAGTAACGCACAAGAAATAAGAAACAGTCAAATAAAGCTCATTATGGCAAGATTTTCAACTTAATGGCAAAATTCATTATAAGATCGGATTTTTAATTTAATCGCCTCATCGATGCCTCACTGTTATATTACAGTGATTGTCTCTAAAGACATGACTACGAAGTATTAAGTTTAAAGAAATGTTTATAACACGTTTTGTTATCGTTTTCTTTAGTTATAGATGTAAAACTATATAACACCATACCTTTGCACTTTGTAATAAAATATTATTAAAAAAATAAGGTATTTAATTATTGAAAGTTTGTCATATACAAACTATGTGGATCAAAACTTTTGCACGTCACTGTATATCTTATTATATGTCGAGTCGTCACTTACCCATACAGCACAAATCTTCAAAGAATGTTCTAAGGAGGTTCTAAGAACATTCATACATTCTAAGAACATTCTAGAACATTCTTTGAAGATTTTGTACTGTCTGGATTAGAGGGTGTGAAGGAGTTTTAAAGGAGTCGCTATTCTCTACCGAGAATAACCGAGAAAGACCGATAGAAACCGAGAGGAATCGAAGAAAGTGAAAGTCGAGAATAACCGAAAAAGATCAAGTGTAGCCGAGAGAGAAAGCCGAGAAAGAGCAAAGAAACGAGAAGAAGCGAGAAAGACTGATAAAGACCAAAAAGAATCGTTGTTTCGACAAAAATAAATGCAAAATTAAAAATGTTTTGATGATACAAATTTTGCGAATTCGGTTCGAAATCCGTTCTATTTATGTACTTAATTTTTTTTTTTTGTTTCGCTATAATTCTTTCGTATTCTATAATTTTTTCTATTAAGAGACACGGTAGTGTCTCGCACCAAATGCAAAGCGAGGCTGACTTAAGTTAATGAAGTTCTCTTTTTACTTGCGAATTACCTGCGAGTTTCTATACCTACTGTTCACCCTGAACTCCTACAGGAGTTTCTATTGTTGCTCTTCCTTGTTTCCTCGACATCTCCCGCTCGCAACTTTTACTCTCACTTTTTCTTTTATGTTGTGTCGCTATTTCTCATTCTTTCTCTAATTTCTTTCTCTCGCTCTTTTTCGACTCTTCTGAGTATTTCACTTTTAAATAATTTTTATTTTCAACGATATTTTAATTGAAATCACGATCGAGAGATAAGAAATCACGAGAGAGAGATACAAAAATTTGTGATAATGAATGGGTAAATATAGAAATTTAGAAGGTACGATAATGAATGTAGTGATGGCTGATATATTTTTTTCTCGATTATCTTTTTCGAACCTTCCTCAGCGCTGTGATTAATATTATTAATAAAATATATCCTTGATATAAAAAATATAATATAATATTATAATGAAAAATATAATAAGAATGTAAACAAAATAAAATATATAAAATATTATATATAATATATAATATAATATATAATATAATAAAAATATAATATAATATTATAATAAAAAATATAGTATTATAATATATACACATATACATTGCAATCAAATCAACATTAGTACAACTTTTGAAAAAGAACGAGAGAAAGCAAGAGAAAAGACTTTAAAGAGTATAATAAAATTTGAGCGAGAAAAAGAGAGTGAGAGAGTCAGGAAGAAATTAGAATTTTAAATAATATTTATTATATATATATATATATATATAATAAAAACGTTTATTAATAAAATTTTATTTTTACATTATTATTATTATTTAAATTAAAAATTATAAAATATTTTTATTTTATTATTATTATTTAAATTAATAATTATAGCAATCATTATTAATTTCTTAGTGTTATTAGTTAAATATTCTAATAAACCACTAAAAAAAAAAATTCTATTTGTAAGCGGAAAATTCCTCTAAGCGTCTCCTCTAAGTAAAATCTTATATGAAGTGATAATGAATGGGTAAATATAGAAATTTAGAAGATAATGAATGTAGTGATGGCTGATATATTTTTCTTCTCTTTAAAGCCCATTCTACAATTGCGTGAATGTGGATGTAAGTGGTTGTAAGTGATTACGACAACCAATCAGAGTAAAGCAATCAGTGAATAAAACATTCGGTTTGGTTGACTCTTACGTTCACGATTACGCTTACCCATTGTAGAATAGGCTTAACACGTCAGTATTCATCTATAAATAGAAGTCGTAAGTCCTTGACATTGACCAATTGCGATCGATTATTCTTTTCGTACCTGACTATGATTGGTCAATTTCTACGATTTACAACTCTACGACTTCTGTTGTAGACCCTGTTTTAAAGAGAGGACGCGTAAAACTATAATCAAGAGTAAATTCTTCTCAATAAGAAATTGTGCAATAGGAATCCGAATATCCTCTTAAAAGAAGAGGATATGGAAAATATTAGCGGCACGCATTCATTGAAAGGAGATACGATGCTTTGGAGATGTGCATTTGTTTGCTCGTTTACTGTTTCTGTATCCGTGACGCGACGAGGCAGTAACGCAGCAAATCGTTGAGAAGCTTTTCTGTAGTTATTGCACGATTTTGAGAAAATTCTACACAATGCAATGAATTCATCATTGTGTACCCTAAAGTAAAACACTTTCTGAAAGGAGTATAGTAGTAAACCGAGAGTGGATTAGAGCGGTTGTCCAGCGAGCGAAAAACCCGGGTTCGAATTCCATTGTAGCAAACCGTACTTTTGATATTTTTCTCTCTCTGGAACAAAACATAAGTCCCGAATGCAAACAGTATTTTTCCGCCGCCACCTAGTAGTTTCGCTCTCCCCTCCTTCGATTTGGATGAATAATATTCTCCCGCATTGGAGAATAAGTTTTCTCTGAACAATATCTTACAGTCAGGTTGATTTAGATTCAGATTCTTAGGTTAGATTTTAGGAAATTCGTCTGGCATTAAGAGGATTGCAATTTTTAAATTAGTGTGTCAGAGATGGTTATAGGATATTCCTCTAGATATTAGAGTATCTTCTTGAGGTCGTATATAAGTGGAGAATCCTTTAGAATTAAGTGGATTCCGCTAATAGAATTTTTTTTTAGGTGATCGAATACATAGAACTTACTTTAGGCGTTTTATTTTTAGACTACGTCTTGTCATTATTGCTTTATTGTTCCGAAATTATGGACAAATTATTTTATCAAATCCGATTCAAGATAATCTTATCTGCAGAGCAGCAAAAATATCACTTAGACGTTGAAAAATTAACGCTTCCACTTTTATCTCGGAAAGTCTTCTAAATATTCCCTGTTAAAATTGAACGAAAAAAGTTATATTACTTTCACATTACAGAAAAATCAATATCTTATCAATCAAGGTCAAATAAGGTCTAAGATAATCCTATTTGCAAAGCAGCAACGTTGTAGAATTATCGACCTTCACCCTTACAAATACTCTATGTTACAATTAAATTGAATATAGTATTTTGACTTTTCGTTTTTTCCTTGTCTCTCCATCTCTCTTCTTCGCTGCCAGAACTTAATTTATTAAAAAGATATAAGTAAAAGAGAGAAAGCAGAAAGAAAGAACCGAACATCTCTGTTCGTTTGTTTCTTCATATTCATATTTTTTGTAGTGAATTTTTCAAACTCCGAAAAATATTTCACATCACTGAATTATATATATGATGCAAGAAGCAATTCTTCAATCTTTACGTGCCGAACGACTTGAAGTTGCAGCAGACGAGTCTATGTATAACCTACGTCCCCTACTACTTAGCGTTCAGCCAATCAGGCGACGCCGGTCACGAATGTCCACGAACCTTGCGAACGTGCACGAACCTGCTCACCGTTGCTCACGAGGAGAGTTACCCGCTCTTCTCCGTATCATTCAGTAGTGAAACCTGCTCGGGTGAAGACTTAACTGGAACCTGTCGTCGATACAACACCAACAGCGCTCTGACAAGAATTGTTCGGACCCTCCGATTGCATAAATAACGCAGCCACTGGAATTATTCGATTTTAATGAGGGACGTAGTTTTGTCCGTGGAAAACAAAAATGGCAGTAAGTACTTGATAAGAGCAACGGAGGGAAAGACTATCTTTGTGAAAAGGGCACGGACAGGTCTGTGCATGTCATGTCATGTTGCGTCACGTCGCTCGCGTCGCGTAGTGAATTCGATAGCTCGATCGCGAACATAAAGATCTGTTCAAAACATAGATAGATTCTTTTTCCTTGATCCACTTGAGTCTCCACTCAAGTTAACAACAAAGCAGGCTTCGCAGGTTACCAAGCCGTACAGGTGCGAGCACACGTGCTTCGTCAAGTGTCATCGCGCTATCCCCTCGGCGATCGCGACCCCCCATGCGTTCTCGTGAAGGTAGAAACGAAATCGCGTCAGTCGACCTGATAAATTGCTTGGTGGCGACGACAGGGGAGAATCGGGAACTGTGAATACATCGTAGCACTGACAGCACCGGTCTCTGTTGTATCTGTCGCAAAGTGAATGCAAAGCGCTGTGATGCGGCAGAGTGGCGAACGAAGAAACGTGCGAGAGAGAAGTTTCTGGAGCTTTCCGGAGCTTTCTACGAGCACTGCATGAAACCGTATATGCGTCACATTCAAGCGCTAATGACGATTCACCTGTTACTCGATCGGTTTTTCTTTTATGTGATTACTTGAAACAGGAGTATTTTATATTGCTGTTATTTATATAATAATCATTTATCTCTTATATTTTATTTTTTCTTCGAATGTTTTGCAAAATTATCAAAAATTAATGTTCCTCTTTAAACCGAAAATTGCTCCTTAAATTGAAAGCCTTTAAAATTCCTTTAAGATCCTTTAATAAGTTTAAATCTTTAAAATTCTTTTGAGATTCCTTTGTTTATTAAATTTAAGTCTCTCCTTTCTCCCTCCCTCTCTCTCTCTAAAATTCCTTTAAAATCACTTATTCTTTTAATACTAGATTTACGGGACCCGTTAATTTGACGAGTTTCGGATTTTACGAGCAAAAGTACAGAAACTATTATTATTATTTCCTAGCAATTTTTGTTGATTTTTATTAGTGGGATGATACGATTATCCAAATTATTCATTTATTCTTCAGACTTCTAATTTTGAAAATCTCTATGTCGTATACCTATTTCTTCGAATATCTGTCAAATTGTTCCGTAAATCTAGTGTTAAGTATGAAATGTGAATAAGTGCGAGAGTTCTTTGTGGACTGTGAAAGAATTTGCGCTGCAGTTGACGATACGTCAATATACAGTGTAATAAATCAAGAGAGAATGCGTTACTCTTACATCAAACTCGATTAACGACAGGTCCAAGTAATCGTATTACATAATGGGAGCTTGAGTGAGGGAGAAAGAGAGAGATTTATCTATTATATCGCATACATTTAAACTACACCCACGCATCTTTCGGAACAATGACGTTACATGTGTTGATATTGTGGTTTATGGCTAATAAAAGATGCCTGTGTGAGATCTGTAAAAGTCAGGAATTCGTAGCATTTGTCTATAATATTTAACGGAATATTCGGTTTGAACGTCGATGAGTCATCCACCGTTGGTGGTTCGCGTCTCATGCGCATGTCACTTGTTGCTCAAGCTCGTCGTTAAGCAGGTCGAATTATTCTTAAGTTAAATATTGTGCTAATAATAAAAATTAATTAATCTTGTACTGATCGTTTTTTTTTCTTCTTTTAAATTATAATCCTACTTGTTACATAAATAATAATGGTTGCATATGTACAAAAGAATTCTTAGGAACGATTTCGTTCAGGACTCTTTTCCGACTCGAAATAATAATTTCTGTACTATAAAGCGGTTTCGCAAAAATTGAAGCGAACTCGACGGTGTTAAAATGTAGAGAGGTGAGTCATCATTGTATCAACTTCATATAAAACTCGTTTGGTGAGACTTTGATCATTAATTTTCTATTTAATTAAGTTAATGAAAGAAAAGACTACAGCGAGAAAGGAGGAAGGGCAGGGGGCGGAATCAAGCAATTTGTGAATTATGCCTAACAAGTGTGTTTCGTGAGTATTGAAAATTGTGCGAAATGGTTTTACCACGATTTAAATTCACAAAAATAAACGCATGATTCTACAAATTTACAATTCTATAATGTAGTTTTTATAAATAATACAAAGATGTTCGCGTGAAAATATGTAAAGTAAATGTCCCAGTTATTAAACATGTAATGATTGAATTTTATAAAACATAATTATAATTGTTATTTATTATTTTATTTCCATATTATTTTTCGATTGCTGACAAACAAAAGTTTTCTATAAACGTTAGTTTTGTTAACAATTTCATTAATTATTCATAAATGAAAATACAAAACTGATTGTGCTTTCTTATTAGTTTAATCATTGGGACATTTACCTTACTTGAGTAGAACAGGGAATTATAATGACGGAAAAAACTGATCGCATCGTAAATGAAAATGATTTTTTTAAATAATTTTCTCACATCACTTTGACACGTCATCGTGATTTTTTATTCTGCGTAAGTAAATTTTTTTGCCGTGCTTCGACGGGTAGCAATGAAACAAAGTGCTTTCTAAAATTCAGCAAGGAAATACTTTTCAAGATGGAAGGAACGAACGGTGTGTGCGAGGTTGGCAGCGCGCCATTTTGTAACTTCTGTGAATTATTTCATCATCTCTTTCTGTATCAAAGTGATTCGCGGCGAGAAAATTTTCGGAGAGATTCGGTAGATTTTTGCGGAAAAACGTGAAAGGGAGCAGAGAAAACATCTGATCTTGACCTCAAAACAAATAATGCGTCACTCGCGATTACACGCGCAGTGATTTTCGGTTATCACCGACGGATGTGTAGCGAACGTAGTATTACGCGTCCGAGATAACTGACGTCGTATCGCGTCATTTCGACGTCTTCGAGGCATCGGACGTCTCTCTCGATGAATCGAGGAGCTTGCAATCGTAAACGAAAATCCGTGAAACGATAGCAGCTCTCTCGGCTCGTCGGACTCCGATCACTACAAGATGGCGGCTCGCGCGACACGTTATGAGTCATCCACCTGTTGCCTTGCTCTTTTCGTTCACTGAGGGAGAATCTCGGCCGGGCGAACAGCTGGGGAATCGCATCGAGATAATGCGTGCACGCATACCGACGGCGCGAAATATATCCTGTAGGCGTGTAAAGCGACACGATCAAGGGTCGTTCGATTTTAAGATTAATATCGTTATTTATTTCGTCACGATGTATTAAATCATCAACAAGGGGAGATAATGAATTTGTTATTCTACAAACATCCACACGGCACACGCACAGCGTACATACCGCTTGAATGAACGTTTTTCGTTATCAGTTATGTATAGAGACTCGTAATATCTCCAGTTTATGCAATTTTAGATTAAATCGTGTCTGGATAATCGCGTCATGTTTGTTGATTAAGAAAATTAAAAAAACTATCCAAACTACTTTTTTATTGCAATTTGATATTGAGTTTATCCACATAGCAGAAATGTCCCAAATACATCATACATCAGGGATATCTTGAAGATTTCATATATCCCAAATATATCAGAATGTCTCTATGATATATTTTGGACACCTTTGCTGTGTGAGTTATTATATGTTATTAATCTTTCATACTTTTGACACATTGACTACGGACGTATCATACAAAATATTCTAACAATTTTTTCTTACGTCATTATAATGCTATAAATAATTAATTGTAAAAAAAGTAATTCCTGTACCAAGAATATATTTTCATGGAGTAAGGTCTGCAGTCAAAGTGTTAAACATTTGTTTAACTTTTATTGTAGCTCTTAACACTTTGACGAATGCTGTCACATGATTTCATTCATCACACATGATTTCATTTTGTCAGTAGATATTATCGAAATGTTTTCGATGATAACAGTTCAAACTTATAATATTATAAGATAAATGCCCCAATAATTGAACTAATAAGAAAGCACAATCAATTTCTTTAGTATATTTTTATTAATAAACAATTAATAGAATTACTAATAGAACTAACGTTTATATAAAACTTTGGTTTGTCAACGATAAAAAATAATAGGAAATAAAATAATCCATAAATATTAATTATAATTTTAATGGCATACTAGATAATGCCGATTATACCAATAATTGAACTGAAAAATGAATTACCTAATTACCAAATAATACAGACTCAATGATTAAATGCTCATTAAGTAATATTACAAATTGTTTAAAGAAATATTTTTTAATATAAAGTTTAAAGAAATATTTTTTAATATAAAGTTTAAAGAAATATTTTTTAATATAAAATTTCAAAGACTTTTTTAGAAATATTAAATACGTATGTATTATTAATATTCCAATCATTGGGATATGTTCAATTACTGGGACATTTATCTTAGCTGTATAAAATTAAGTGTTTCAAGTTTATATCGTTATACATAAAGATAAGATTTATGTATAATGTTTTTCTTCAGATATTATTTAAGCGAACTTTTAAAATCTGTCACACAGCGACAGTCAACAATTTTTCCAAAGTAAATTTGGCCGTCAAAGTGTTCAGTCGTGATGCACAAATACAAATATAATGCGTTCGACTAAGAAATACCTAAACTAGAACTGAAAAATGTACCAAGGATATGTGTATAGTTCAAATCCACGTTTTACGCTTTTAGCAAGAACAAATCTTACAACAATTGCCCAATATTTACGACTACTTGTTGATTTCTGTAAAGCTTTACGCTGTAAAGCTTTAAAATAATCTTACGAATAATTTATTTTATATGCAAAAAAATCTCAGTTGATGCAACCGAATAGGAACTAACTGATAATTAGATGATCAGAAGCGATATATCTCTGTTATAAAAACTAATATTCCTGTTGTCGCAACCGAAAATATTCGTCGAACATTCAACGATATTAGAACTCAGTTGAGGCAACTGAGAACAATTGATTATATATATATATACAGAAGCCTCATAAAGGAATTTCTTTGTTCCTATAGTCGAGTTTTCGTCTGATCCTTGAGCAACCGGAATATTCGGCTGCACTAATGAAATTGTTTTTTCCGTATACATCAAGAAGTTTACGATTATTAAGATAAGATTTATATATAACTTATATATAATTATGTATGAAATTAAATACTCACGATAGCTATTATCGTAGAGGCGATGCTTGAGGTACAGTTTATCGCGTTGCATGCATCAGCCGCAAGAAAGTATACCACACGTTATCGCGAGATATAGGTTAAAAAGGACGAGTAGATTTTTGATAATTGTTGCGTTACTAATATTGAAGCATTGAATATATTTTTCATATGTTATTTCATTCATAACAAATCTGAGGAAAAAATATATTATTTCTCGTAAAAGTAAACTTAAATTTTATATAAACATTAGTTTTGTTTATAAATCTATTAATTATTTATTAATAAAAATCCCGATTTCTTTTTTTACGGACGTTTTCTGAAAATCACGCCTATATGGAGCGGTTAAGTTCGCGAATAATTGAGCAACGTAATGTACTTGATGTTTTATCCTGAACGTAAATGACTTTTACGAAGACTAGTTGTTTGTCTCCTCGCTTTCATGCCGTGCGTACATTAACATTTTTGTCCGTTTGTTTAGAAAATAGCATATAAACATTAATCGTACGATGAGTAGCAGTTAACACACGTTTAATAAGGAAAATATGTTGAAAAATGAGCACACAATAATAACCAACGTTATCAATTAACTGTAGCAATAATTTAATCTGACTCGGTACTACAAACAAATTTGTCACGGTAAACTTTCCGATTTTATATTTATTTATTTAAGTTTCCTTTGCACTATCTTTTTAAAAACGGCGAGTGTGGGCAAGGAATAATTAACTTTGTATTTTTACACGTAATAATGTAACATTATTACGTTTCAAGATATCAAATTGATATGAACAATAACAATATTTTCTTGTGTCCGCATTTTTTCAGCGTAAAAACCAGACTTTATCTCCGTCACGTAGGCAAGGGTTGGTAAGAAAACGGCGATACAAGCGTTGTGTGTGTGTGTGTGTTGTTTGTGTGTGTGTGTGTGTGTGTGTGTGTGTGTGTGTGTGTGTGTGTGTGATGCGTCAATGATTGCGTAGCAGTTACTAACTTGTGCTGAGAGACGACATGTATAATGCAAAAAATAGCAAAGCGACATGACGGTGACGCTTTTCTGTCAAGGTCGCAGTCTTATCGCACGGAGCAAAATTTTTTTTATATTTAATACACTTAATTTCAAAGACATCGTGTCGATTCAAAGATATTCGTCGACTTTTCGTCTATTGAAATGTGGTAAGAACAAGCTAACATTTGATTTGAGAAGTACAATTATTTGACTTTTTATATAATTCAATCGTTTAATAAAGAAATATTTTTTTCATGTAATATTTTAATATTACTAAATAGCTTTATTAATTTGTTTAAATAAATTAAATACATAAAATACATGCATATATGTATATATATACAATAAACATGAAAGTACGTATATATATGAACAAAGTAGTAAAGCTTTTTAGTAAAATAAAAAAATTACGTGAAACAACCTTTTTTACTATACCATCATAAATTATAGGAAAAAAAAGAATACATTTGTTTTTTTCTTTATATACACATGTACGTCCCCTATTGACGATGATCGGACAAATGCTTTAAATATGACTTGATAATATTCTTATAGCTCTTATGCTTTTATAACATATCAAAACATTATAACATCTCAAAAATATTATTTTGTCACACTGGCAAGCTAAGGCACTGGAGATAAGATAAAAATAATCAATAAATAATAAATATTAGCAAAATAGCGAATCATTTGTATCACGATTGCTTCTGGATTTTTAAGTAGTTTATTCATTTAAACCAAAATCCATAATTGGGAGAGAAGAAGAAGAGGATAGGGGCCTATTCTATAACGTTTAATGATGTCGTTATGTATCGCTGCGCAGTTATTTCATAATACAAAAAATCTGCACAATAATACATAACGATGTCGTTAAAAGTTATAGAATATACCTCTTAGTCCAAACTTTCTTGCGCAAGAAACTATTATTTCAAAAACTATTCTATAAAAAAAAGTCATGAATATTTTCCTTACTTTCTATCAACTTTTTCATAGTAAAATTTCGCGATTTTTTGGTTACATTATGTGTAATGGTTTTATTTAAAATGCACGAAAAATTACTTATTGTTATTTTGGCTTTAGAAAGATTAGCACGGTAGCTTCATCAGATATCAGATATCTTTGTGACAAGCGATGTGTTAACTTCAGGTATATGATTCATCTATCATTATCAGGACGCAGCATAGTGAGATCGAATGAAGTTTCATATTTCACTTCTCTTTAATGAAAGCTAAGTTTTTGAAAGCTTCTTTGATGAAAGTTTTTAATGAAATTTAACACAATTTGTCGAGTTAAATTTCTGTTTTCTGCTTTTTTTTCTAAATTAGATCTAGAAATTTTTTTTATCAGTAACTGAAAATAGTAGATAACTTATTCCATATCATCTAATTTAACATCAGACATACAGATATTGAGATATTGTAATTAAATATATAAACTCTGATTATAGATTTGAAAAAAGTTATTCAAACTGGCACAGACTCACTTTACCTTAATTTAACAAACAAGATTAATTGAAATAATGCCTAATTTTTGTAAAAACTACTGAATTAAATAAAACTAAATTATTACTATTATGTTATCAATTTTTTTATTATTGTTCTTGAAGTAACAAGTCTTTAGCTTCCATATTTATCGGAATTGTTTGATTGAAAAAAATTTTTCTTTAAATATAACTTTTTATGTCTGATTTAGAAGGGAAGTAAAAGAAACAAAAATTTGGTTTGACAAAAGTTATTATAAGTTCCATTAGCTTCTATAAAAACAGCATCAATATGGGTTTAAATTTCGAGATGGCAGCCTATCTTGAAATATGAAATTTTATTTGTTCCCACTATACGCCATATAAATTTTCCGTAATAACAGCAAACATTGTTAGGATCTACGTTTGGCCTTCTTTCATTTACTGTATTCAGAGTTTAATTCTGGACAGAATTTTATTTATAATTTTGTGTCGTATAAAGACAAGGAATATTTTAGATAATATTACAATAAATTACAGATGTATATGTATATAAAATATAAATATGTATTTGGAATATAAAATTTATTTGATTATGATAAATTGAATATTAGAATATATATTAGAATTTAGACTAAACAAATATGGAGTACAATTAATGTGATAATTTTTTTACTTCATAGGTAACTGATTGTGCTAAAATAATATAGTATTGCATTATTTATAATACATTTCGCTAAATATTTGTTTGCATCTGACCGATAAATAATTTGTTTTGATTCTTCTTCATCAAAAGCTAAAATAATGCTTCTGGATATGTTGCAGATCTCATGTAAAATGGATTACGATTGTCCTAATGGACAATACTGCTATGACTCTTCTTCTTGTGTCAATTTTACCCGATGTATAGCATTCAACCGTCAAGAAGCTGCAGTTCCTGCACGCGACGGTTCTCAGTGTGGACCTTGCTTGAAAGGGTAAGAAAGTCCCTACATTATTTTCGTCTTTTCGTGTAATAAGTCGCGTATTCTTCACTACATCATATCGATTTTCATATCTGTCATAGTATATAAACGACACTGATAGCCAGCTTGCACACCTCATTGCGAAATCTGCTTATCAATAACCTTCCCAAAGTATATACTTAACCGCGTGTTACGTGCTGTATGTAATAGTTGTATCCCTGTAAGAGGATTTCCTCTTTGAAAAAGGAAATCCTTTGAAAGAGGAAATCCTCTTTGAAAGCGATTTAATATGAGTTTTTCATATGCAGCACATTAAAGAAATTATAATTTTGTCGATATATACAACATTCAAGATGCAACATTTAGGCCAAGTTCCACAACATCTGTTTAATATTACTACAGATTAAGTCCCAATAGTGATTGGTTAATTCTGATTAACTCTTCTTAATGTCAAATGCGATTAGTCAAGTCCAATGGAATAACCAGCCAGTTAAATTAACTGGAAGTTGTGGAACTGGACTTTAGAAGTGCGCTTATTTTTAAAACATCGTCTTTACTTGGCATATTGTCTTGTCGAAATGACTGTCATGAAGGTAGGATATTTTGTGGCAAAAACTCGAGCTAATAGAATTGTTCATTGCGTTGTTGGACATGGAAACATATGAGAACTTGAATTTTATCCATATTTTTCAAGTTTGTCATTCATTTTGGTATATCAGAAAGAAGAAGCAGATGATAAATTAGAAAAAATTTTAAAACAAATTCCATATATGTCAATAACGTAAAAGCGATAATAAAAGGCTCGAACGAGCTTTTTGACACCACAGAAAAGCATTTTGGAGTATGATATATAAGAGAGATCAGAGTTAAATGTCCTATATTTTAGTATTTCAAAGTTTCAACTTCTCAGGCAACTAGTTGTTATGACTGACTCTATAAACATGATAGAGGCAATCTTCTTATATATTAATGCAACTCTATGAATTGTATATTCTGTTTTGTAATAACCAAAATACGAATATGCAGCAACAGAGCCATCTTATCCTGATATCTTGGTTCAATTGTCCAATAGCTTAGGCCACGTATGAAATATGTATCTTAATTAGACTCCAGAGACTCCGTGAAAAGTTTCCTGCCTTAATTATGAGCCAACTTTACCTTGTTCGCCCATATTTCTATTTTCATTTTATGAATGAAAATTGCATTTATTATCAAAAACAATATATCATACACTTGCAAAAAATTTTATTAACTAATAATACATTTAATTTTATTAAATGTTAGATGTACAATTATACATGAATATTGAAATAAAATAATATTATCTCATTTCGTTAGATGAATTAATATAATAGAAATTAATATAATATTTTCATGTTTATTCAATAATTTAGATAACAAGCGACAAGTGTCGCTACAAAATTTCAATTTAGTCTATTGAATTGCGGATCGCAAAATGTGCATTTCATTAGAATAATATCGTATGACAATAACTATCAATTCTAATAGTAATCATGTGCACTAAGAGTGTATCTCGACTGATATAACAAAACTCTCTTCTTATCATATCTTTGATATGTTAAGGACGTTGTAGAACAACGGATTATCTCACACAGCAGAGGTGTTCAAAATATATCATAGGGATATTCTAAAGATATATTTGGGATGTGTGATATCTTCAAGATATCCTTATGATATATTTGGGACATTCCCGCTGTGTGGGGTAGGACAACGGTTCAATAAACTTTTAGATAGCACAGAGAATTCTAAGCATTCAATCGTATGTCACCAATTCTGAGTTCATTTTTAGATACAAAAATAATTTTTTTCATTGAACTGAACTCTGAAGAATTCTTTTTACATTTGAAAAGGAACTCAGAATTGGTGACATATAACTGAATTCTTTTTGAATTTTTTTTTTGAATTCTCTGTGCTATCTGGGCTTCCACTTTGTATGAAGTTAATTTTCTTGTTTAATATTTTATAGATTTTATGCTGCAATTCTTGAGGAAGGAGTTGAACAATTTTGTCAAAAAAATCCGATTCCACACACAGAAATAGACGCAGGTGAGTGTGTTTGTATGTGTGCATGTATACTTCCTTGCGAAACGATTTGAACACTTTCTTCTGACGAAGTTAGAAGCTCATAAAATAGTCATATATGCGCGAGTCGTTACTCATTTAATACTAACTTTGTCAGAAAAAAAGGGTTCAAACTATTTCACAACCGAGTGTGCATTATACCGTTTTCTTTTAGTATATAATTTTTTTAAATAAATATATAAAAGTAATTATTTACATGCTCGATTGGTTTAAGTACAATTAAAATCGCCCTAATAGAGTCAACGTTATAAAATATTCACAACTACACTTTAAACGTACGCCTTATCAGTAATTCCCATACAGCACAGTAATGTTGAATCAATGTTGATAGAATATTGAATTGTAATAATGTCAATATTGCAGCAACATTGAGAAACATTGAATCAACGTTGTACAAACCTTGATATAATGTAAAAATGTCCGCGATTGTTGATTTTTCCTTAACATTTCAACGTCTTATTTATTCTTATTGTTTCATAAAAAATACTAATTCCTAATTTTCTCATGTCTTATAACTGCTAGAAACCGAAGATTGTCGAACACACTCTAAAACTTTCGTGAATCCTCTCTCAATAATTTCGAATCCGAAGCGATATGTCATCATCCATCCTGACTGCGTTACTTAACCTAACGATCGAGCAGTACGTGGTACTGCTTTGGTAATTCCAATAATTCCAATGATGTTCTTACAATTTATGCTTATAAAATGTATACTTTTATAAGCATAAATTACATATAAGCATAAATTACGTGTTCACGGTATATTATAACGTTCTTAGCAAATACACGCGTTGATTCGCCTCTCTATTTTATTTAATATCTCTAAAGTTTATGTAATTATTTGCAAAATGACTTGACCATTCCTTCCAGTTTAATGTTTTTTATACATTTTTTTGTTATCGATACAGCTCAAACTCTATATAATAGAGAATATTATGAAATAAAAGAATATTCAAGGTTTGCACAAAATTACTTAAACACATTTCAATTTTACATATAAATAATAAGAAAAATATGTATGATTATAGTATATTGTAATATAATATGTGTAATACGTTTATATTAATATAATAAAATTTAATAATAATTTTATTATTATTATTATTATATAATAAAAAATTTTTCCTTGATATCAATAATATAATTTTCAATGCTCCTCAAATATTGTTGTAAAAAATTGTATTTTTTGTTCAATATATATTCAACATTGCAGCAATATCTTGTAATCAGTGTTGAAAAATCAACATAAATTCCATGTAGAAAAAACATTCACACTTCTATTTTCAATGTTACAACATCTCATCAAGATTTTTTCAACGTTCTGTGCTGTATGGGATTGTTTCTTCTTTATATTTCTTTACCCATTTATATTTTTTTATCATTTATATTTCTTTACCCATTGCTTTCATAATTTGCAGAATACAATTGGGATATTATTACAATATGGTACATTGTTTTTGCTTTGATTTTGATATTAAGTCTCATATATATCTACTTATTCTACACTAAAAAACGTAAGTATTAATTTCTTGTTAATATATTATTTTATGCATGTTTTCTTTGTTGAGCACTTTTTTTTATATGTAACCAATAATTACGCTGTTAACAATCTGTGCCAAAAATAAATTGATCTAACAAAGGTTGCACTATATAAAAGGACATATGGTGATAAATGTATTCTGTGTAAATGTATAAAGTTGGTGCTATGAAGATTGTTGTTTTTAAATAATGGTATATCATTTTATGTCAATTGGTTTTTATTATTTTGCGCGTAGAAGAATTAAAATAGCACACTTGAAAAGTATATACTGTGCGCAAGTATTTTGTATTATATATTTTCATATATAAACGTTTGGTGTACGAACATTTAGTGTGTGTATTATGTTTTTATTAACACGTTTACTGTTGTACGTCTATTGCTAATATCAGGCAAAGACTGGGTTTAATGTTACAATCCTTTTTCATCCAACAGAGCATATTTATTTATTACAGGCGTTTGTATATAAGTTTAGCATCATTTATAATTTCCATAAGACAATTATCTTCTGTTTTTGAAATTTTATAATTGTCTAATATCTTATATATAAATTATTCAATGTGTAAAAATTAGGGTTTGGAAATAACATGTCACTTGTAATACCGTTATTGTCACAAGTTATAGTAAATATTTAGAAAAAGTGACACTCTGATTTTTTTTACATTAGTATATATTGTAGGAATGATAATCATAAGTGATTTGCAGAAAGAATCAGGTAAAAAATTAATTGTCGAGATATAACAAAATAAATTTTAACTTTTTTCTTGTTAATTTAAATCTCGTTAAATTCTTGCTGAAATCCTTTGCCTCATTAAATTATTGAATGTACCATATACTAAAAACATTGTAAAGATTGGAAAAGATTACTATGCAAGAAGATGTCGTCTTATCTAAATATTTATTCAAGCTATTTTTTTCTATAGTAACGAACAACAATAACAATTTTATATTTAAAAACCAACTTACCAAACTTTGCTCCGAATACTTCCAATACTTTGCTTTAATATAAAATCATTGCACTGCAATAAGTCATTGCACATAATTGCACTATATGGGACTCATATACAAACTATGTTGTTTTCATGATAGTAATAGATTGCTTTGTAGTTATACATATTTAAAATGCTTGAGACAAAACAAGTAATCAATATTATTAATGCTTTTTGTTTAATTTTACAACTCTTTGTGTAAATTTAGAGTTTATAATAAATTTATAATAAATTGTTATTTAGATGACTGAACAAGCGATCTATTGATAGGATTAATTTTTAATTTTTCATGGTTTTAACATTTTTAGGAATTGTTCCTGAAACCCAGCAGTTAACGTGTTAATGAATAAAAATAAATACATATATCCGATATCACTATATCACTTTTTGAATGTCAAAACGTACGTAATAAAATTAGAATAAGACAAGTGTTTCAACGTTTGTGTAATAAAATTTGCAATATCCACCAAATTAATTGTACGAGTGAAAATATTGAGAATGTTTCTCTTCATAGAATACCCTGCACATATAAGTGAGGTCTTCAAAAAAAAATATTCTGAAATAAATGAACAAAAAGTAGCATTTCGTCAGGAAAACTCAAATCACTTTATACCCAATGCACCATCAGAAGTACCATACGACGTACGCAGTAAGTATATTTCATTTGACGTACGCATATGTGATTCGTGCATTTATTTAGTCTGCAATGGCACGAAAGTTTTATATATATTATTTTAGTTAGAGAAAATGTTTCGTTTCGATCAACTTAATTATTAAAAACAAATTAAACGATTTTAGATATAAAGTTTGTTATCAGTATAACAAGATGTTTAAATGTTTAAATGTTGAGCATGTAATAATGTCTTGAGAATAAGTCGATAATAATTAGTGATCAAAAGCGTGTTTTTGTTATATTCATCTTATAATCACACGCTTGAAAATTTTCTATAATTTTGGCAATAGCTAAAAATTTTTAGAAGTTATAATCATTTTATCATTCAGACATTTTGTACTTCATAAATCTTTGATCATATGCGTATGTGATCTTTAAACACACACACATTTATAACTTTTCATTTTCAGACGAATCTATTGAAAGGAATGAAGTATGCTGCCAGCCATTTTATAATAATGGGACAGCTATAGTTAATAATAAATCGCAAAACGCTGTTCCATTTCAGCCACCGAATTGGGTCGAAAATGCAGATTTATCGGGTGAAACCAACAATAACGCCCAATACTTTGCTCAACGTAACATATCTCGAATTAATCGTTTGTCAGAAGCAAGAAACGATCCTGAGAATAATGAGTAATACATAAATTTGTTTGCTTAATTATATAATATATTATTAGAACCAGCTTGCAGGTGCATAAAATAACTTTATTAATGATAAATACTTTATTTTAATAATACATAAATAATCTTAGAAATGCATGCGGAACATTTCAATCACTTTTAAGATATTTTCAATCAATAATTAAACTAATGATTGTATATTAAGATGTTTTAATAATATTGAATACTTCTGAGTGTCACACACACGTTGTTTCATATATCTAAATCTACATAGTTGTTTCGGACTTTAAAATTAATGACTATTGTATAAAAAGATTCTTTTACAACAATATAGAATTTTTAGCAAGAGAACTACAAGACTCTCGGAATCTTAGAGCCTGACTCAATGTCTCAGTCAGAGAAATTTACATAAAGTATTCTAACTTTTCGATATCTGGCAGGTGATAGAGTAACGTCATTTAACCATACGTTCTACAGTCACCTTTACCAATTGTAATAATGTTGAAATAATTCTACAAATTTATTTAATCTTGCATAAAATCTCAACTTTATCTCGAATGAATACTAACACGTTTCTGTATACGATCGTAATTTTGATTAACAATTGAAAATGATTGAAAAAGTGTTCAGAACGTTTTGCATCTATTTGTACGATTATTTATATATTGTTAATTAAAACATTTATTATGAGTGAATTTATCTTACGCATTTATGATTATCAGAGTTTGACTCTAATAATCTGTATTGTAGAATAGATTTACATATGCAGAGTTATTCCAAAATTTTCATGCTTACTACTTCACCATCATACACCAATCGATATTAAATTATACAGGATGTCTCACACTCTTCTCCGGGTATTTTGTGGGGACGTAGAATAGATTGAGGTAAACATAAAAGTCCTATACCGTTTTGCGATATTCGCAATAATTATCGAGATATTAATTGTAGAAAATTTGTGAATAATCACGCAGGATATGGTAAATGAGTTATAATAGCGACGACTGCCGTCGTGTACTTATACTTTAGGTCAAATTGTCAAAAAAGTCCTCTATCATTTTTTGCAAATAATCACATAGATTTTTAATTATTAATTAAAGAAGGTGAGTGCATTATCACGCAAAATCGTGCAATAATCTTCTTTAATTAATTATTAAAAATCTATGTGATTATTTGGAAAATGGTAGAGGACTTTTTTGCTCAATTTGACCTAAAGTATAAGTACACGACGGCAGTCGTCGCTACTATAACTCATTTACCATATTCTGCAAGATCATTTACAAGTTTTCTACAATTAATATCTCGATAATTATTGCGAATATTGCAAAACGGTATAGGACTTTTATATTCACCGCAACCTGTTCTACGTTCCCACAAAATGCCTGGAGGAGAGTGTGAGACATCCTGTATAATACAAATTTCATTTATTTTGATTATTCGATGATGTTTGTTAATTTTTTTGACAAACAATCTCAATAGACTGTACATAAATTTTACAGCAACTTTAAGTATATTAAATATATTAAAAATTTAGTAACGTTAAGTCCATAACTGATAACTGATCATATTGTATTAATATTTGTCACCTAGAATGACAAAATAAAGATACGAAAGAAATGATCAAAATTTTCGCCAAACAATGTCATGTTAAGTATAATATAAAAATCTAATATAAAAATCTGACAACTTTTAGTAAATTTGTTGCTGCATCAATATAACAAAAAAATTTACATTTTATAATGTAAATTTAATAATAAATTCAATACACAGTACATTTTAATTTTTTTACAATTTAATTATATTTACTTTATAAATGTAATTAAAAGAACTATAAAGTTTCTATCATCGATTGTTGATCACGTTATAATTGTTATCACGTTATGATAAGCATGAAAGTCTATCTGGAAAGTGTTTATAAACTTGAGATTAATATAGGTGCTTATATAAAAATACTTGGTAATAAATATCGATGTATGTTATAGACAACTAGCCATCCTGATACCAGAACCAACTGTGGAACATGAGGATAACGCTAGGAACACTGCCCTAATGCAAATCAACGATAATGCTGACGATACTAATTCTACTAATTCTGCTAATGATGAAAGAAATGACAACGGAAATAGAAAAGATGGCACTAAAGTCAAGACTGTAGTGATTAATCAGAATATTACCATGAATGTGAACGTGTCAAATTAAGAAAATTATTGATCTACAGGTTAGTGTTGATTCACTAACATTGCAATATTGTATTGTGCTACTAGTCTTTACTATACGCATAATAATATAAAAAAACATTCATACATACCCACTAAGCATTGAACAAGAGTAGAGTAACATTACATTAATAGGTGCGTTCAACAAACTCAACAGTTGCACAACAGTTGAGCAATTTGTCAATGTAATTGGTTTAGATTTAGGGATCTAACAGTAAGAACCAATAATCGCTGATTGCTCACTGAGCGCTTTTTCTACTGAACGCACCTAATGTTATAATGTCTCACTTAACAATGTATCTGTTACATACAGGGTATTTACGAATTCCACCGACAAACTGATAGGATGTATTCGTGGTCAATAGAGAATCAAATTTTCATTATGTTTGGTCAGATCTGCCTTGCTACGGAGTTATTGAACGTGAAAGTCAGTGAAAATGAAATAAGATTATTATCAGTCGCTTCGCAAAGACAAGTCTGAAGTCATTATTATTCTTCTTCTTTTGTTTTTTACATTACGCTATGCTCCTTGTCAAACAAGTGATACGCAAGCTCTTGACGCTTATTTTCTTATTCTCAATATGTTTCTGGATTCTTCCGCGGTTACGCCGCTCAATGGTCCGCTGAATTGTGCATTGAAGTTAATGGAAAATTTCGAACACTTGTTGTAACTGCTAACAATACTCAAGAAAGTTGTTTTGCACTCTCTGTACCAATGTCTTTTTTACCAGAACGTTTCATGACTGCACTGACTTTCTCACCCGATATCTCCGTAGCGAGGCAAATCTTACCAAATAAACATGGTGAAAAATTGATCCTCTATCGACCACGAATACATCTTATCAATTTGTCGGTGGAATTCGTAAATACCTTGTATAATGTGTTATATTGTACTTATATTATTAAGTGGAAAAAAAATTATAACATTAACCTTTAGACTGCCGGGAAAGCCACTTTTGTGGCTTTTGAGTTTGGGTTAAAATACTACTATTTTTAGTGATATTTTAAATACTAAATATATTAAACATATATGTATATATATAGCCTAAACAATGTGTCTCCCCAGTGTCCGCTTCGCGCTTGTTCGCATTTACGTCGCCGAAACATATGAACTGATTATAATACTCCATTATGCATAACACCCTTTTTTAAATTATCATTTAAAAGAAATTTTATCATAATTCATAATAATTTTATCACAATTTATCAGAAAAAAGTTAACATAAAAAAATCAAAAATATAAAAGTAAAAAAATTATAAAAGAAGCAAAAAAGTAAAAAAAATACATAAATTAAACATTAAAAAACCAAACAAAAAAACTGCATGAATCTATATGTTTATATTTGTTTATATTTGTCAATATTGCGCTTAGAACTCAAAATTTCATAAATTTATGCTCAGAATTGGTATCAGCAATACTAAAAACACTATAATACACTATTTTTTTAAAAATAAACATTTTTATATTTGATCATGCGTTCCCTGCTGAGAATGCCACTTTTGTGCCTTTGCACAAATCTTAAAATTTTAAACCATATGTATGTTACTTATACAGACAAATTTTTTTAGGAAAAAACCACTTTTTTAATGAAAAAATGCCGGCAGCCTAAAGGTTAATGCAACGTTATTATTCATGTTTACTGGGGATACCCAGACAACTAATGTCTAAAATCAGGACATAAAACGTTTTAAAGATCATCTTGAAAATGTCTCAAACAATTTACGTATAAATGTCTTTAAGGCGTCTTAAAGATTATATTTAAGACGTCTCATGTCCCGATTTTAAACACTATGTTGTCTGAGTAGCAATTGTACATACAATATATCTCACAGTGTTGGGAAAGTTACTTTTTAAAAGTAACTTATTATCGTTACCGTTATTTTCGGTAAAAAGTAACTCGTTACCGTTACTCGTTACTGATCTTAAAATATAACGCGTTACCGTTACTTGAAAGTAACGATATTTTACTTCATTACTTTCCATTACTTTTTCTTGGTTTAAATCCAGAATTATAAGAAAGGAGCTAAGGTAAAATATAAATTGGACATAAGATTATTAGAAATATATTTATATTTAAATATTTTTATTATTTTATGTTATTAATTAATAAGCAAATTGACCACAAACTACGCGCAAATTTGCAACAAATTTGATAAAAAATCCACATCAAACCATAGGCATCTGTGTCCGCATTCAGCTACGGTTTTGACGACAGAACCTGCTGTCGGGCAATTGCTGCAAATTTGCAGCAAAAACCGCGCAGAGTCTGCCGCGCGACAAGATCTGCGTTGTTTCTGCTGCCAATTTGCCGTCAAATCATTACCGTTTCGTTACTAACACAAAAAAATAACGGCGTTACCTAATCGTTACTCAACAAAGTAACGATACCAGTAACGACGTTACAAGTAACGCGTTACTTCCCAATACTGAGTATTTCAAGTACCATATTACCTAAAGAGATTCTCTCTTAGTATATAATATTGTTGCGCCCGCGTTATCGGAGATGCATCGGTTTCGATGATCTCGATATAGAAAAGCGAAGGGGCGCGGTTGACAACGAGGAGTAACAACAACTGATAGAGAATAAACGACAGAGAGTTGACAACGAGATGCGAACGCAAGCAAACATGTCAATGCTTGACATCGAGATTATACAACGCTGTTAACGCTAAATAGTAAACGCTAAATAGTTAACGCTAAATAGTAAAGCTTCTCGTTCTTTTGTAATTATGTTGATTCATTTCCTCCGTGCGCAATCGCGAGTGCAAGCGCGAACGCAACAATATATTACATAGTACATATTTATTGCATAGATAAGTTTAATTATCTATGCAATTTAATTTATATCAAGTTAGTATCCCACATAGCACAAGATTTAAAAGATGTCCCAAAGACATTCAGAGGATTGCTAAATGTCCGTATAAGTCCTCAGAATATCCTAAAAATATTCCGCAGACTTCTAAATGTCGATACAAGTCCCCAAGATATCCCTTTAAGATCTTATGCTATGAAGGATATGTTTCTCAGTTAGTGTTAAAAAACTATAAGTTTATTTAAAATACCACTTTTCAAAGATATTATATATGTTTCAGTGGTTGTTCTATGGATAAGATATGGGTATGTAATAAGATATGACTAAGACCTTGTGTAATATGGTATTTTTTTTTTTTTTTTTTTTTTTTTTT